TCAAACACATCTTTACAATGAATCAGCCTGTCCATATCTAATGGTTTAAATAAAAATTTATGGGTTCGTCTTGCACAAAAGGATTATAATAAACAGAGTTTCTGCATACGAGGAGACCCTTCTATACCAGAATTGTTAAAGAAAAATCTAATAGGAATGGGGGTACATATAAATCTTTATAAACAGATAACTAGGGACAATATAGAAAGTCAAACACAACGTGTTGATAAGATAGTCAAAGACTTACCTGTATCTCATGTTATTGTTAATCACTGTTTGTGTTTTGATTGTAAGTTTATTCCTTTGCATTGCAATACCACCTCTAATCATACCTTAAAGCATGGGAAACAATTGCCTGTAGGATGGACCTTCTTTTGCAATAATGAAACCTATGTAGCACTGCCTTATGGATATCAAGGATTATGTGCTATAGGACGGATAATGCCTTTGCTAATAACCCCTCCCTTAAAAAACACGTATATCTTTATCTGAAAACTGTGATGATTCTCTCAAGCTACTTGACCCAAAAGCTGTAGCTGTTAGTTCTGTCTTTTTACTCCCCATACCTGGTTTGGTAACTGGATTGCAAAATGAGATATCTAAACTCGCTTGTATACTAGTAAAACAGCAAACATAACTATAAAAATAATATGAGAAATTAATCAAGAAATGGGAGAACTAAGAACTGCTTTACTACAAAATAGAGCTACTATAGACTATCTACTGTTAAAAAATCACAAGTGATGTGAACAATTTCCAGGAATGTGTTGTTTTAATTTGTCTGATTTTTCACATACTATAGACCAACAGGTTAATGATTTACAAAATAAAATTGATAAGATGTCTGAATTTTCTATACCTTGGCCAAAATGGCTCCAATGGTTTACTCCATTCTTGGGCCCAATATTGATTGGCATACTTCTTCTAATAGGAGCTCCAATAGCTATGCCCTGTATTATAATTTCGATTAATAATACTGTGCCCTCTATGACCACTTCCTTCTTTTAAAAAAACAAAAAGGGAGGAGATGTAGGAAACCAGGATGCCAGGCCTAGGATGAGGTGAGCCTAAAATTTATAGGTCCAGGCTGCATTCTCTGCTAAAGGGAGGGTCACTGAAAACAGTGGCTCCAATAATCCCTGCCTTGCAGAACACTGCTAGGCTGGCAGGAGGAAGCAGCCAGGTCATAAAAGTGCAGGCTCCCTGCTCTGTGGGCAAGTATCTTGGTCAACAACACTTAGCTCATCTCCTTAGCTCAACTCAGCTATCGCTGGCTAAGAGATTAGGCCGGGTGAAAGGTTTACGCCTGAGCTGAAACCTAAAAGTTCACCATGCTTTTAGCTCTAAGAAAGTAAACATTGTGGCCAATAAATTACTGGATGGACATTGATAACCCTGAGTAAAAGTTTAAGAATCCTTCTGGTGCCAACTAACAGACTAAATGTCCTGTTTCTTTGTACCCTAAATCTTTGTATATGACCACTATATCCCACATGACTGCTATTTCCTTGGGATGTATAAAAACCATCTAAATTCTAAAATAAATCATCCTGTTGGGAAGACACAGGTCCCAGAGTTTATGACTCAGTCGCCGATCAGACCCTCTGCCCCGAAGCCAGTAGGTTCCCCGCTAAGCAAAGTAAACCTGAGTCTTGACACTCCAATAGCTGACAAAATACCTGAAAGAAAATCCTGAATTCATCACTCTATAGAGTCAAGCATTGGAAGACAAAGGAATAATGAGGAAAAACACAACAGAGGCATGCTTTTGGAAGAATTTGTCAAGAAATTCCAATGGCCTCTCATACGAACATTTGAAATTTGCCCTGTTCTGACATTTTTCTTGTTCCCTGTCTAGAATTTGTAATGATAGTTACTTCTGCCTTTACTTCTCCTTCAGATCTCCTATTCATGACTCAAGGACTTTCTTTACCCCTTAGAGATAAGAGTTATGCAATTTGGGAGTCTTTCAGATAGACCCACTGAAGGGTTACTCCAGTTGCCTCAAACTCTGTCCCTGCAACAGTATGGAAGATGCCAGAGCAGTCTGCATCCCTATTACCTATTGGAAATTTTGGTAACCCCTTCAGAGGATGGAGTGATAAGAATAGGAGGGAGGAATTGGCTAGGGAGGGTAAAAAATACCTCAAAGAAAGTAGCCAGTTTCTTGGCTGAAAGGTTAAATGTCCTTGGGCCTGTTAGCAACATACTATGTCCTAAAGGCCAAAAAGGTCAAAAGTATTTGGGAGCTTGTATCTAATCCTTAAAAGATTTTATGATTACCTCTTCAGAGGGTGCAATGTTGGTGGGAAGGGAGAGGGCATGTATCTGATCAAAACACCTTATAAACATGAATGAAATTTGCAATAAAGTTTTTGTAAATGTGGAAAAAAATAAGGAAAAAGGGCAAACCCAGAAAAAACAAAACAAAACTAAACAAACAACCACAAATTTCATCTGGGGTTTCTGTGAAACCAACTTCTGTAAGTTCCGAAGTGCTGTCGTAACAGATTATGAAAACTTCATGATTTTAAGCATCAGTAGGTAAGTGTTAGAAGTGGGATTCAAACCATACTATGCCTCCATTCAGAGACCAGAATCCCCAGACAGGGAAGCAGATCTTAAGTCTGAAAATTTAGATTTAAGTTTCACATCAGAAGACAGAGCACATATTTGACATTGAGATTAGTCCTAGGGACATGGGACTACAAAGGCCACAGGCTATAAGGGAGATCTTAGTACCATTATTCTACTAAATAGTTATGATATTAAAGTAAATCCTAATAACTCATTTGAAATACCCAAAGGTTATTCCATCTCTCAACATTCACCTTAGACTCTTCCTTATGCAACAAGATGCTGGTTAATACAGAAACCCACAATTGAACAAGAGTTTTCAGAGTGACTATTTGTGAGTGGGACATCTTTATCAAACTTCTGTCTCCCAAGGCTTGAGGATTATTGGGAAAAATGGTAGAAAGTTTGCAGGAGCCAGAGGTGGTAGATGACTTCAAAGTAATGGAGTTTTTCAGACAGCAGGGAAGTTACTTACATGAACTCAGACGAATGGTTACAGGCTGCACAAGTCCCAAGTAAGATCAATGCAGAAAAAAATTCCCGCATAGATGGGAAAGTGAGGAAGAAACCCCTACCTTTCCTTAAGAACTAATTATTGGAAACTAATAGCTGCTGGAAATGGGGCTGTCACTCATTTTTTTAAGGTTATGACTCTTGGTAGATTGACCAGACTCCATTGGATGGACACATGAAGTCAGTAGTGGGTAGTAAGGTGTTTTAGTTGGGTTTATATAAATACATTGTATGAAAATTGAAATTTTCAAATCAAAAAAGAAGCAAAGCAATAGAAAATTTAAAACCTCAGAAATCAGTTTCTCATACTATTTGAAAGTAGAATTATAGAATAAATTTCCATGAGCCAACTTTGGATGGGGGCAGGCAGGGATCCCTCCATAGCTGTTAGAAGACGCTTCCTGTATCTCCTTTACAGCCTATGGACACTGCAGCTCCATTCCAGGTGCCCATATCTCTCCATCTCTGTCTTCATTGGTTAACCTCCCTTCCTCTCTTTTGTCTGTGATAAAAAAAATATCTCTGGATCACTCATTTATAAAGGCACTTATGATTCCATTTTGGACATACTTGATTAATCTAGGGTAATCTTGACACCTAAATATGATTAGTTTACATCTTCAAAGTGCCTTTTCCAAAATTTATAGCATCTGGAAGCACCTGATATGCATAAAACTCAATATCTATATCTATCATCTGTCTATATATATATCTGTCTGTAACTCCACACACTTCACCATGCACAAAATCACTTCACTTTGCTAACCATAGGTATTGTTATCAATGTGATTGATAGTAATTATCATTGTGATGGAGTGGCTCAGATAGGAGGGCTCTAATAGGGATTTTCTTTCTTCATTGTTCTGTCACCATTGTCTTGCAGAAGGCACAAGGTGACTAAAGATGGTTCTTAATCATCTGTGTTGAAACCCTATCTGAACAGAATAGCCTTATTCTATTACTGTCTGGACACTCTCTTGCTTCTGTGCTCTCAACCCTCAAGGAGATCGCAGGTGGTCCTGACTCAGACACAACTCAACTTTGCCTTCCATAAAAATCCTTCCTACTCACTTAGGGCAGTGCAAATGCTGAAGGCCGAATGAGATGAATGAATTGTTTAAATGACAATCATTTTTATTTTATATTTGTGAGGATCAAGAGGTGGTTTCAAATGCCTTGAATATTTCTGTATGATAATCAGTTTTCAGAACTTGGGATAGCTTAAGTAATAGTAGACATTTCTCAATTATGATTATAATCATTTCAGTTAATAGTATCATCATTTTAATTAGATCTTTACTAAACTTAGAATGCAGGGTGCACTACTAAAATACTTAGTAGCATCAGTATAGGTCAGAATCACTTTCCATTGATTTTCCATAGATTTACTCAAATGAGGGACCTTACAAGAGATTTAGAAGTCATATACTTGGAGAGAGATGACAATATAAAACTAATCACGTAGAGAGGTAAGTAAGCTGACAGCATCAGAAACCAAACCTTGGGGTTCCCAAACATATCTGAGGATCACAGAGTAAGAGGTAGACTCTAATAACTGAAAGCAGAGGTGCATTATGGGAGCTTCCATGAGCTCTGATTTGTACTGTTGACTTTCCTCACAGCACAGTTAATGAAAGTAGATGAGACTATAATTAACTGCACTAAGACACTTTTAAATTTTTCCAAATTTAATGATTATGTGGACTCCTTCTTTGATTAATGGGAATGAGTACCAATTATATCAAAACTAGGTATCTCATATATCAATATTTGAGTATTGTATTAATTCAGGAGAGGCATCGTCCCTTCTGTGTTTCTGAGACTGAAGAGGAGGAAAGTGATTTGGGATCCAGAACAGACTCACTGACACTTTCCTTCAACAACCTCCCAGAAACTTTACAAAACTGGCTTCACCAGGAAATACTGTAGTTGCATAAACCAACCGGAGCATCTGGGCAGCAGAGCCTTGAACTTGAGCTTCCCTGTGAGGTTTTTGTCATGATTTGAATCACTGTGGGAGGGGTACTAGTATACTGGTGACAGAAGTAAGTGGCAACGTCTTCAGGCTCCAGGCTGCTGATGGTGAGAGTGTAATCTGTACCAGATCCACTGCCGCTGAACCTTGATGGGATCCCAGTTTGCAGTATGGATGCACCATTGATCAGGAGTTTAGGAGCCTCCCCTGGTTTATGCTGATACCAAGCTAACCCATTAAAAAAGTTCTGACTGGCCTTGCAAGTGATGGTAACTTTCTCTCCCAGAGATGCAGATAGCAAGGATGGAGACTGAGTCATTAGGATGTCACATCTCACACCTGACAGGAAAAATGTACAATAAATATACATACTGAACAGGATAACTATTAAAACGTCCTACAGCTCTTTCCAAACTGGACAGCAAAAGACCCCATTGCTTCCCTTCCCTACCTGAGAACCAGAGTAGCAGAAGCCCCAAGATTTGAGAGCTGTCCCTCATGTCCATGCTGTGTCCTGACAGGAACTAATACTCAGTGTGTAAACAGACTAGTATAAGTCCTCAGGGCAGTGGGGTGTGTCCACATCATATGCAAATTACCAAGAAATTAGTGTTTGACACAGCTATGGGATTTGGTTGATATCATCTCTTAGATTCAACACAGGCCAAGAGCTCCCCAGGTGTTCAAGGCAGACAAAATTAGCAAAGATTTGTCCGCAGAGAACATATTCTTATCCGTGGGAGAAAGCACAACTTCAGTATCTGATCCAATGAGGAATCAGGTATTTTTACTACTTCCTATTCCTCTATATCATTTTCTTCCTCACTTCCAACAAGGAGAGTGGAATATCCTCCCAAACAATCCCAGAAATCAGAGCAAACCTTATTCCCTCCTTTTGTTGGTGCATGTGGATATGACTAGCAAAGAGTAAATTCCTGTTTGCTCTGGTACCATTCTACTTTTTGGGTGAACTTAAAAAGTTGTATAGAATACAAGACGTCCTATGATTTTTTGTGTAAGGAGTGGGCCTGCTAACTCAGGCCGGTTCACATTTGTTCCTGCATATACCGATGCTTTTCCCAATAAACACCAAAAAAATCGACCAGTGATTTTTTTTCAGATCTCATCAGAAGAATATGAAGTCACTGCTTGTCTCTGCATGCAACTCTACAAGTACATTCCTGGTGTTCTTTAGAAGTCTAAGATTCCTTTTCCTGTACTCTCACCTCACTTAACATAAGCCACCCTCCACAGAAATAGAGGTTCTGTCTAACAAGCATTCATTTAACACTTTTATTAATTTTTATTGAATTTTTTCAAATTTATATAATATATTTTGGTCATAATTAGATCACCTCCCATATGGAAACTCCACATGTGCTCTCTGCAGCCAAAATTGAGTCAGTAAGTTGTTCTCCAATGAGTGTCATGATATTGACTGTGCAGAGTGAATGTCCAGGGAGGAGGGCATCTGGACAGGTTTCCTGTGAGTAAAGTTCCCTGAAATGAGCATCCCAAGGACCAGCTGTCAACAGAGCATGGCAGAAGTATGGGATAGAGCAACCAGCTCCTTCCGCAGAGCTGTAATAACACTCATGCCTTTGTGTTTCATTTCAGGCTACAGCTGTAATTATCCAATCTGTAGCTCACATGCTAACAGGCCATTTTCTCCATCTTCCTTTCCTCTCTCACCTTGCTTCTTCCCTCACAGGATTTTTTACATGTTTTCAATATGCTGATTGTAGTCAGAGCCTTGTGTCTAGGGTACTCAGTCTAAGATAATATATACATATCTATTCTTACGAGATATCACTGAATTCTTATTAATTCTTATATAACGACATATAAAAGCACAGTATTTGAAAGATTGGATAGATATGCCACGAATGGAATTTCACGTGCATCACACAATCCTAGACAATGTTTTGAAATCCATGAAGCATTTTTTAAGAACTGAATGGTTAAAACAGCCCAACACTAGATAATCCAGGCATGGTGGCACATGCTTGCAATCTTGGCACTTCGAAGGTTGGTAGAGAACATCACGATTCCTAGGCCACCCCTACAAACTAGCATGGACGAAATGAGGCTTGAAGAACAAATAAGAGTAAAAGTAGGGAGGGAGGGGAAGGGCAAAACGGAAGAAAAATGAGAAAAAGGAAAAAAGTTCTTTATTTCTCTTAGCCAGTTAATTTTCTTAGGTAAGTGAAACTATGTAAGCAGTAATTCCATTTCCTAGGTCACAAAATCAATATGTTCCTAGCGAAGAGCTGTGTGTCATGAAGTGAATGTTAAATTCGTAAAAAGATCCCCAAGCATTTAAATCCCACAGATTAAAAAAACCATGAATCTTAAATTTCTTCCACCTGTCTTGTTTCATATATCTGCCTCATGAACTTTTATTCTGCTCTCAAATAAGTGTTAAGTCACATTTCCACCACTGTGATCCAGCACGTGAGGGAAAATTTTTAAAAGAGGAAAGACTCTTACAATTCAGTTTGACAAGCTTTAAACCTTGGACACTTTTTCAATTGCTGCTGATATGAAATATGGTGGGGCTGGTGGAGGAAAGTTGCTCAGTTCATGGGAGAGATAGACAGATGACAGAAGATAGACAGATAGGTAAATAGATAGATAGATAGATAGATAGATAGATATATAGATAGGTAGATAGATGATAGGTAGATAGATGATAGATAGATGATAGTGATAGATGACAGATAGATGATAGATAGATAATAGACAGATGAAATATAGACAGATGTGATGATAGACAGATGGATAGATGATAAATAGATGATAGTTACAGATGACAGATGGTAAATAGATAGATGATAGATAGATGATAGATGATAAATAGATAGATACATAGATAGATAGATGATAGATACATAGATGATAGAGTGATGATAGAAGTCAAGGATACATCTCAGTGACCTATTACCTCTTAAGAGACTTCACATACTAATGCAATCAAACTGTAAATATATCCATGCATTAATCCTTTCATTAGTGAATAACCAGCTTGATCCAATTGCTTATCAATGAATTAGCTACAGTAGGTAATGAACAAGCCTTCAACTGATGAGGGTTTAGAGACAGTTCATATCAAAGCTCTAACAGTCAATAGTCAATATATGCAGAAGGGGCATTATTATGAGACTGAACCAGGTACCTAAAATATATTCATATATGGAATCCTGTCAAAAAATCTACGTACTTCTTTCAAGCCTTTCAACTTCTTTGCATCCTACATATTGGAAAAATCCACAGGGTAGTCACAGGAGTTTGAATATATGGGGCCTCCAATGATTAAGTCCTTTGTCTCCAAAACTATGAGCGAAGTAAATCCCAATTCTTCATGAGCTCTCTAGGCTTGAATGTTTTGTTTTAACCAAACAAAACAAAGCCATTATTACAGGGACAAGTAGTTAGCTCAGATATATAAAATTGACACAATGTTTCTTCATGTTTAACTAGCATATGCATCAGTATTCATACGCTAAAGCAAAATGTCTCATCAATAGGCTGCTCTATTTCTTGGTTGGAAAACTCACAGAAATCTGCTTTTGCATTCTACAGCTTATCAGGATGTAAATTCTACCAGCAAAGTTAGAAGCAATTACCTTGGTATGAATAACTGTTTCTTCCTCCACTAGAATGGGATTTCCCTGGAAATGGGCCTTGATTGGGATGAGAAATCCTGGATCAATTACAATCCGTAAAATCATTGGTTTAGTGTAATTAACTCAAAATTTATTTAATCTTTGTGATTTTTCATACAGTATAGTTTGAAGGCATTTAGATCCCCTCCTCTAGCTACACCTTCTACCACATCCCCCATTTTAATATATATATATATATGTGTGTGTGTGTGTG